TTTGTACCTTCTGACCATCTTTACCCAATCCTACCCCTTACCCTTCCACCCCAGGCTCTGGTAACCACAAATCTAATCTCTTTTTACTAAGAGTTACTTAGTTACTAAGTACTTAGTTTATTAAGTTACTTACTAAGTACTTACTAAGTTACTTACTTTACTAAGTACTTAGTTACTAAGTTACTTAGTTTACTAAGAGTTACTAAGTTTGTTTTTAAAGTATAATTGACTACAACACTATGTTATCAGAGTTCCAAAGAATAGCAAGGAGAGATAAGAAAGCCTTCCTTAGAGATCAGTGCAAAGAAATAGAAGAAAACAATAGAATGGGAAAGACTATAGATTTCTTCAAGAAAATTAGAGATACCAAGGGAACATTTCATGCAAAGATGGGCTCAATAAAGGACAGAAATGGTAGGGACCTAACAGAAGCAGAAGATATTAAGAAGAGGTGGTAAGAATACACAGAACTGTACAAAAAAGATCTTCACGACTCAAATAATCATGATTGTGTGATCACTCACGTAGAGCCAGGCATCCTGGAACGTGAAGTCAAGTGGGCCTAAGGAAGCATCACTATGAACAAAGCTAGTGGAGGTGATGGAATTCGAGTTGAGCTATTTCAAATTCTAAAAGATGATGCTGTGAAAGTGCTGCACTCAGTATGCCAGCAAATTTGCAAAACTCAGCAGTGGCCACAGGACTGGAAAAGGTCAGTTTTCATTTCAATCCCAAAGAAAGGCAATGCCAAAGAATGCTCAGACTACCACACAATTGCACTCATCTCACATGCTAGTAATGCTCAAAATTCTCCAAGCCAGGCTTCAGAAATACGTGAACCGTGAACTTCCAGATATTCAAGCTGGATTTAGAAAAGGCAGAGGAATCAAAGATCAATTTGCCAACATCTGCTGGATCATCGAAAAAGCAAGAGAGTTCCAGAAAAACATCTATTTCTGTTTTATTGACTATACCAAAGCCTTTGACTGTGTGGATCACAATAAACTGTGAAAAATGCTGAAGGAGATGGGAATACCAGACCACCTGACCTGCCTCTTGAGAAATCTGTATGCAGGTCAGGAAGCAACAGTTAGAATTGGACATGGAACAACAGACTGGTTCCAAATAGGAAAAGGAGTATGTCAAGGCTGTGTATTGTCACCCTGCTCATTTCACTTATATGCAGAGTACATCATGATAAATGCTGGGCTGGAGGAACCACAAGCTGGAATCAAGATTGCTGGGAGAAATATCAATAACCTCAGATATTCAGATGACACCACCCTTATGGCAGAAAGTGTAGAAGAACTAAAGAGCCTCTTGATGAAAGTGGAAGAGGAGAGTGAAAAAGTTGGCTTAAAGCTTAACATTCAGAAAACTAAGATCATGGCATCTGGTCCCATTACTTCATGGCAAATAGATGGGGAAACAGTGGCTGACTTTATTTTTCTGGGCTCCAAAATCACTGCAGATGGTGATTGCCGCCATGAAATTAAAAGACGCTTACTCCTTGGAAGGAAAGTTATGACCAACCTAGACAGCACATTAAAAAGCAGAGACATTACTTTGTCAACAAAGGTCTGTCTAGTCAAGGCTATGGTTTTTCCAGTGGTCATGTATGGATGTGAGAGTTGGACTATAAAGAAAGCTGAGCACCGAAAAATTGATGCTTTTGAACTGTGGTGTTGGAGAAGACTCTTGAGAGTCCCTTGGACTGCAAGGAGATCCAACCAGTCCATCCTAAAGGAGATCAGTCCTGGGTGTTCATTGGAAGGACTGATGTTGAAGCTGAAACTCCAATACTTTGGCCACCTGATGCAAAGAGCTGATTCATTTGAGAAGACCCTGATACTGGGAAAGATTGAAGGTGGGAGAAGGGGACGACAGAGGATGTGATGGTTCGGTGGCATCACCGACTCAATGGGCATGAGTTTGAGTAAATTCCAGGAGTTGGTGATGGACAGGGAGGCCTGATGTGCTGCAGTCCATGGGTTGAAAAGAGTCAGACACGACTGAGTGGCTGAACTGAACCGAACATAGAGATTCAATATTTCTACAAATTTCAGGATGATCCCCACTATGAGTGTAGTGTCATCTGTCAATATTCCTATAAATCTGCTTGGTGAACTTATAAGTAGTCTCATTTATTGTTTCTTTCTTATCTGATTAAAATGTTTTCAATAAAAAATAAAAATAAGAGATCAAAAGTGCTGAAAATGCTTAAAATCTTTGCACTTTAGTCTGACATTCAGTGGCTTCCATACAGGTAGGAATAAAGATGATGTGTTTCTATGTGTGTGTGTATGAATTCAGAGTATTTGAAAGTGTGTGGCTGTGAATTAGTGTGAATATATGTGAATATGTGGGTGTCCGGGAGGGTGTGTGTGAGTGTGTCAATTTGTGAGTGCTTTGGAGAGTGTGTGACTGAGTTTGTGTAACCCTGTGTAAGTGTGTGACATGAGTTAGTGTGAGTGTGTCTGCTTCCCTGGGGTTGGGGTGAACAACCTGAAAGGATTCAGGGGCTCCCCACCCTTCTCAGTTCAGCCCAATTCATTGTAGGCTGCAGCACTGTGAGTGTTTCCCCCATTCTCGACTCTTCAAGAGGAAAACAAGCGACAGTGAGGAGGACACCAACTCTTCTCCTCACAGAGAGAACAGTCAGGGTCCTGTCCCCCATTGTCACTCACAGTTGCAGAGACTCAGTCACCATCTGCGGTGGTGCACGTCTGTCTGTTTGTCTGTTTCTTGTTTTCATGAAGATTGCTGCTTGGGCCCCAGAAGCTGCTAGGCCAGTGACCTTCCTGGTAACACAGGCCTGAGAAGGTGGCTGAATCAGCTACCGTCGCTCAGTCCTCAAATCCTTCTTGATCAAATGATTTTGTGGCCAAAGTTGTTGGGAAGGCTGAGAACTCAGCTCAGGATCCACAGCCCAACCTGTCATGGTAAGGGTGCTGAGAAGTCCCATGGGCAGCGCTTAAACCTGTGGAATCTTCTAGCCATGCATTTTTACATGAGAACTGGAGCCCTGCCTCCCACTCCCCTTGACAGCACCTATTAATCTCCCACAGATCCAGCATTTACAGAACCCGTGTTGGGGTTATCCTCTAGTTCATGTTAACAGCCTATATGTGCCAGCACATCTCAGGCTACCAAGCTTCCTCAGACACACAAACACGCCCCCTTGGGGCCCTTTGAGGAGACAACATTAAATACATTTTTACAGAGAAGGGGCCAGGGCAGCTAAGAGATGGAGTATCTTGCTTAAGGCACCCCTAGTTCATAAGAGGCTAGCCTGCCTTGGGACTCCATCCTTTTTCTTCTCAGTAGAAGCTCAATGGAGAGCTTGGCCTTGCATGGGTTCAGGAGACATGAAACATTTTAATATTTTATTTATATTTATTTTAATTTATTTGCCTGTGCTGGGTCTTAGTTGGAGCATGTGGGATCTAGTTCCCTTGACCAGGGCTCAAACCTGCCCCCCCTGCATTGGGACCATAGACTCTTGGCCACTGGACCACCAGGGAAGTCCCAACATACAACATTTTAGAGGAAGAGACTCAACTGATGCTTGAAACTCAGACATTGATGGGATTCCTAGGGAGCTGGGAGGAGGTGGCTTATTAGAGATAACACTAAAGGGGAGTTGGGATTCCCCCATAATTTGGAGGTAAAGAATCCATCTGCTATGCAGGAGATGCAGGCTTGATCCCTGGGTAGGGAAGATCCCCTGGAGGAGGCCATGACAACCCACTCCAGTATTCTTGCCTGGAGAATCCCATGGACAGAGGAGCCTGGCAGGCTACAGTCCATGGGGTCACAGGGAGTCGACACGACTGAAGCTACTAAGCACACATGAGGTGCCGAAGGGGGTTGCTAATTTGTCCTGGTTGGACACCTCTGCCACTTCGGCAGCTGGAGGTGAAAGGCCTGAAGGAGACAGAAGGGGAGTTCTAGTCCGTACAGTGCCTCCTCTCAGCCTTGTGACTCCTGTCAGTCCCTCCTGTTCACTCAGTTTTCTCATCTGAACCATGGAGAAGTTGACTTAAGGTTGTCAGACAAACTACGGCATGCCCAGTTTAGTTTGAATTTCAGGTAAACAACAAATACTTTTCAGTGTAAGTATATTCCGTGCAATATTTGGGACATATGGATACTAAGAAATTAATTTTTATCTAATATTCAAATTTAACTGGGTAGCCTGTATTTTTCTTACAGATGAGGGCCAATGGCCTTTATGACACAGATGACTATTCAGAGGCCCAGAAGTTGGGACCAGACCTCTGGCTGGGGCTCCCGTCCTTCCCACTGGCTCCCTCTGTCCATCAGCCGGGTCACTGCCAGGCTGGGCTGAACCCGGCTCTAAGGGAAAGGCCCAGCCTCCTTGGGGATGGTGAGATGGCTGGCGTGGGTCTAGGGGACCCGAGGTGCCCAAGGAGCTCATGATCAGGGTCCATGAAGCCCGAGAATGCAGGGCTGGGAGGAGGCGCTGTCAGGATCTATCCTGAGGGCAGCTTTTCCTACATCTGAATCATGTAGTGCTACATTGGCTTAAATGACTGGAAGGAGACCTGGGATATGAGGAGAAGGATGATGTAGCGACACCAGCCCAGACCTCTGGGGTGGGAGGAAGAGATAAGGCAGAGGGGCACGGATGCTCACCTGGCCAAGGGCTCTACCCGACCCCTCGGTAGTGGGGACTTCTCACATTACCACATCAGGGCAGAGTGGGCATCATGGTGGCCAATGCCCTCCATCAACACCAGCTCAACTCAGAAAGTTCTAGTACTGGATGGTGGGGTGGTGATGGGTGTGTGGAAGCTCTAATGAATGTACACTCCTCCCCCCCCTCCCACTTGTCCACAGACTGGCACTGGTGTTTGTGGTAAACCCAGTGACACGGGAGGTGGCTGATAAGAGGGAAAGGACCCTGTCTGGTCAGATTGCCAGGTTCCCAGCCTCTATAAAACAGGCTGTGGAGGGAGCCTTGGAAGCTGCCCACCATGACCTCTTGGGCCGTCCTGCTCATCGCCTCAGTGCTCCTGGTTGCCCCAGGTGAGGACGTTCCCCTCAGGGTAGATCCCGACAACTGCTTCTCCTCCCAGCTCTGCTTTCTCAGGCTTTGTGGACCCAAGCATGAGCTCCAAGGTCACCTCAGGCCCCAGAGTCTTCTCACCATCACCACGGAGGCTGGGCCTTACCCTCAGAGCCAGGTTCAGCTCAGCCTGGGTGTGACATGGGCAATGGGGAGAGAGAGCCAGTGGGAAGGAAAGGAGCCCCAGCCAGGGGTCTGATCCCAATTCTACTGCTCAGGCTGTGGGGCCCCTGGGGATCCCTTTCCCTTCCTGGGCCTCTGGCTCTTTGTCTGTGTCATGAAGATCACTCACCCACCGGTGGGTCTGAGGGTTCTTCTGGCCCACAATGGCCATGGTGATGACAGGGCATCTGAGTGAATGGGGACCTCTCACTGTTCCAGACTCACTCCCTTGTTCCCATACCTCCTCTCTCCCAGTTCCCCAGGCTCACTGTAAGTTCTAAGGGCTTAGCTGAGCGTAAGGACCCTTCTGGAGGGGACAGCAGGTTGGGCTGGACCACCTGACATGAAGTGTTTTTTTTTTTTTTGAGGAAAGAGAAAAAGAGAAACAATCCCTTGAAGGAATACGAGGGAAGTTTCCTTTTAGATGGGCCCCAGATCTGTGTGTGTGTGTGTGTGAGAGAGAGAGAGACAGAGACAGACAAGAGAGACAGAGAAACAGAGAGGGTGGTGCAATGGTAATGCTTGGGGGGACTTATCCTCTTTGCTCTCCAAGGAACTTGAGAGCATGTGTTTCTCCTGAAAGTGGGTCAGAGCAGCCCCAAGGCAGAGTAGAGTAGGAGGCCCCCTGGACTCCTCACAAGGCTACCTCCCCGTCCTGGGTGCCAGCTGCCTCCTGGTCTCTCTCCGGCTGGGAGAAGTGACTTCTCCTCTCCCTCTGTCTGTGGAGGGCTGCTGATGCTGTTTCTTCCCCAGGGCTGGCCTTTTTCGGTCTGACCCCTGAGCACCATGACCAGGCAACAGCTCATCTGTGGGATGGAGATGAGTTGTGCCAGGACCTGTCCCTGGAGGATCCCCAGGTACACGGATGGCTTCCTGCTGCCCACCCACCATCCCTCTCCTTCCTCTCCTCCCTGGGCAGCGCCAGGGGTGAGGGCCTGGAGACTGAACTGGCCAGGGGGTGGGGTGGGGGGCAGGGCTGGGAGCTGAAGATGCTGGCTTTGTTCACACTGGTACCTGACTGTGGGGTGGGGGCTACACTGGTGGCTGGGCCCTCCACAAGGGCCTCCTCCTTGTCTGATGGTAGAACAGAAGAGGGGCAGATGTTGGGCTGGGAACGGTGCTGTGGGTGTGGGGGCAGGTCAGGGGGTCTCTCAGACCCTCTAAGACAGGCAGAGAGATGGGCAGGGGCCAGCCAGTCTGGCTCAGGTCCTCATATGGACAGACAGATCATGGGTCATTCTACTGGCCTTGAAAGGGTCCCTTCCTGGTGCCCTTCCGAGGTTGGGGTGTCCGAGAGACCACTCTGAGGGACTTCCCTTCCTAATAGGGTGACCTGGTGCTCCAAAGAGAGGAGCTGAACCTAGTCTGTGGTTATTGGCAGAAGATAATGCAGATGTTGAAGGACATGGTGGGAAATAATCCCAGCAAGGTGAGACCGGAAGCTTGTGGAGCCTGGTGGGTGGAGTGGTGCCCCCAAGAGGGGTGGGGAAGGTGAGGGGTGGTGAGGAGGGCTGCCAGAATGGCTGAGGTTCTGTGGGCCCCTCAAACGTGGGCCAATGGACTTTGGAGAATTCCCTCAACTTGTGGCATTCTGGGAGTGTGAAAGTGGGAGGAAAGGGTGTGTGGTTTACATCAAGTTCTTGAAGGGAACCTATCCCCAGAGAAGGTAGGGACCTCCCATTTATGTCCAGGATAGGGCTCTGGAGGTTGGTTCCAGATCAAGCCTGAGTCAGGAACGGTAAGTCCCAGGTTCTCCACATCCGAGCTGTATGGCTTGGACAAGTCATAAACACTTTGTGAGCCTCAGTTTTCTTATCTGTGGAATGGGATGGACAAGAACCCCAAGTTGCCTAGGACTTTTTTTAAACAGATGATTTTATTTATGTATTTATTTGACTGTGCTGGGTCTTGGTTGCCTCTTAGACTTTCTCTCTAGTTGCTCTGAGCTGGGGTTACTTTGTCATTGGTGTGCTCAGGCTTCTCACTGGGTGACACCTCCTGTTGCAAAGCACTGGCTCTCAGCACACGGGCTTCAGGAGTTGAGACACATGGGCTCAGTAGTTGAGGCTCCTGGGCTCTAGAGCACAGTCTCAGTGGTTGTGGTGCACCCGCTTCCTTGCTCCCCAGCATGTGGGGTCTTCCTGGACCACAGATCCTCTCCTGTACTGGCAGGCTGATTCTTCACCATGAGCCACCAGGGAAATCCTGCCTAGGCCTTTTAAAGGAGCTGAAAAGTGGGATGTACTTAGCTTCAAGTGAATGCTTAAGAAGTGGATGTATCATCACAAGAATCATAGTTTCACTCTCCCCCTGACCCCCCTGCCCCCCCTTAGCTCCCTCAACCTGCTCAGCCCTCTGCCTTCATCCCGGGATCCTCAGATTTATCCTCTTCCACTGGGATGGCAGGATAAGATATTCCGAAATCAATGAACCAAGGCTCCAAGCTCAGATCCCCTCCTAACCCACCGAACCCCCCCCACCCCACCCCAGCAGATGGAGACCCCAGTCAGGCCCTGGACCCAGAAGCTATGTAGGCAGAGCCTTTAAAGTGGGTCTGGGCACCACTCTCCACCCAGAAGACAGGGCCTGGGTATAAAGGAACTGAGACTCGGCAGAACCAATTGTCTTTTCGGGAGCCCCTGCTGGTCAGGCTCGGGCCAGGACTCAGGGATGGGGAGTAAGGGCTGAGCCCTGTCTCTCCAGTCCCCGCTCCGGTGGCCACCAGGCACCAGCTCCCCGGCCAGTGGTCCTGTTGCCAGACCCGCCTGGGGACCAAGGCTGCTAAGGCCTGCAGAAAGGCAATGCCAGGCAGGCTTCACCTGAGGCCCGTTTCCCACCACGGTGCTGCCGCTCCAGAATGTCATCATCCATGCGACCTCCAAGGTGTGCAACAAGATGGGGCTGCTGAGTATCCTGTGCAAGATGATCATGAAGAACTTTCTCCATCGCATCTCTCAGGACATCTTGGCTAGGAAGAAGCCTCAGGCCATCTATGTGGACATCAAGCTGTGCAAGGGCAAGGCAGGTACATGCAGAGGCAACAGCAGGGAGTTATTTCCTGACAGCCTCCCCATAAATGTGCAATAGAGTTTAAAAACACAGGAAGGCATCTGTCAGAGACTTCCTAAACAGCTCACACCTGCCCTCCCAGCCTTCTTGTCATATGACACATCGCTCCTACCACTCCCAAAAGGGACAGCATGGAGCAGCTGGGTAGGTGGACTTAGGCTCCTACCAAAGTCCTTTCTCAAACATTTGAGAAAAACTCCTAACAGCCTGAGGCAACCTCCCCCTGCCCCTCCCCACACTCCCGCAAACAGTCCTGGAGTAAAATCAGGTCCCCATTTCTCCTCAGCTGTGTGACCTTGGGCAAGTGACTTAACCTCTTTGAGCTTCAGTTTTCTCACCTGTGAAAGGGGGATAATGACTCCTGTTTCTGAGGCTGGGGTGAGGATTGAATAAGACCATCATGTATGATGAGGTTGACACCAAAGAAATGGCCTGAGACTAAGATACTGGAGACATCAGAGCCCTGATTGAACTCCAACCCCCCAGCCCAGACCTGATCCCAGAATGGGAGCTGAGGCCACATCCTTCTCCATGATAGAGGTCTAAGAGCTGGGATGGAGGAAACTCATGGGGTGGGGGGAGGGCTAGGGCTGCCCAAGGCCATGCCTGGAAATTTCAGGCAATGGCTACAAGAGATGGGCCGGGGAAGGGGTCCTCAGTTCGGGTCTGGCAGCTCATCCACTCTCACTGATGCTTTGTGGCCTGATGCTTGCAGATCACCCATTAGTATGAGGTCCCCATCATTTCCTGTGGCTTTTATCTTCAAAGCCCCACCACCCACACAGGCTCCTGAAGGGCTTCTAGGAGGGGACACTGCTTGTGTACCACAAGGACAGGTGGCTCTGGGTCTCCATCCCCTCCAGAGGCCCCACACACCTGTCCATTGCTGTCTCTTCTCTCCACACCAGGTCTCACCTGAGCCCCTTGTTCCCCCAACCCCACCCTGGGGAAGAAGCACAGAAACTCCAGCATCCTCAGTCAGCTCCTTCCTTCCTGAATCCAGGAGTCTTCCCTCTAGTTTCTCTCATCTAACTCCTTCTCCTGCCTTCCCCCCTCAGGAGAATAAAATATCAAGCAAGAATTTTTGCAGCTTTTTTTCTTTTGCTGGGTTTCAGAGGAGAGGCATGCTCATCTGACTCATGAGTTCATTCAATAAACATGCTGTATGTCCACCTGTGATTTTAGATGCTAGGGATTTAGTGGTGAACAAGACAACTTAGCAACTCTCACACATGTGGTCATGAAATACTTATTGTGCTGCATGTCACTCCAAGAACCTGGAGTACACCATGAATATACCACCAGGAGCTCTCAGACCAGCTGGGGAAAACATCCAGGTTAGGGTTTTGTTGTTGTTCAGTCAATCAGTTGTGTTTGAGTCTTTGCCACTGCATGGACTGCAGCATGCCAGGCTTCCCTGTCCTTCACTGTCTTCTTGAGCTTGCTCAACTCATATCCATTGAATCAGTGATGTCATCCAACCATCTCATCCTCTGTCATCCCCTTCTCCTCCTGCCCTCAGTCTTTCCCAGCATCAGGGTCTTTTCTAATGAGTTGGCTCTTTGCATCAGGTGGTCAAAGTATTAGAGCTTCAGCTTCAGCATCAGTCCTTCCAATGAAAATTCAGAGTTGATTTCCTTTAAGATTGACTGGTTGGCCTTCCTTGATATCCAAGGGATTCTCAAGAGTCTTCTCCAGCACCACAGTTTGAAAGCATCAGTTCTTCAGT